TGGGTCAGCTCCCTGGCTGGGGATCAAACTCGTGCTGTAGTGGCTGCCATAGCTTCATAGTGCTGCGCTTTAACTTGCTGTTCCACCAGGGAGGGCCCATGTTTCACTTTTAAAGCTATGTGTAGGTTCTGCTGTCTGCTTGGTAAAGTACCCTGGCTTCAGAGGTTAGCCTGTAATTTTGCTGTGGCTTCTAGTATTCCCAGCAGTTCCCCATCTCCCTAGGGGTGTGTGCTTAACTTGAGGTGTGTGGACACCACCTTCTGGAAATGGCAGGAGCAGAGTGTGGAAGACAAAGGGGTGACAGATTTCCTGGGGTGAGAAGGCTTTTGGTGCAGGCTCTCTGTTGGTTCATGTATCCTTTCGGCTGGCCAGGCATGTAGAAGGGGTGCCTTTCTCAGACACAGGCTGCGAACACCAGCTCTCTGCAGAGAACTGTCCTGGGATGTGTTATTCTATAATCTGCCTTCAGTATTCATTGCAGTTGTTTTATGGACAGAACACTGAAGCTCAAAAGTTTCTTGACCGGGAGCCTGCACCTCACTTTCCCTTTCTCAGGCCCTCAGGAAAGCAGAGAGCTTGAAGAAATCACTCTCTGTCATGGAGACCAAAGTGAAGGCCCAGACTGCACCAAACAAGGACGTGCAGAAGGAGATTGCTGACCTTGGTGAGGTAGGGTCAGCGTCATCCTCCCTCAGCGCTTGGCCTAGGCTCATGAGTTGGACACCTTAGCGCTGAGGAACTGGGGCCTGGTTCTCAGTGACTTGCAGACTGACTTCTGTCCTGCAGCCTTAAGAATGGGACTGCAGAGATCCTGGCTTGTGCGCCCTGGGATCAGTGTGCCTGCCAGCGGCAGGAGAACCCACTCTAGGCACAAGTGGGCGCTAATCTGGAGGGAGTTAGGAGAGGTGCTGAAGGTGCCCATTTTCCCATGCTTCTTGGTGTTTGTTAGTACTGGGGGGCTGCCCATCAGTCCAGACTGTGTTCACTGCCTGGGAAGGAGCCCTAGATAAAGGAGGCCTCCTTCCTTTCCCTTTAGCCCCACTCCTTCCAACTATGGCAGTTGCACCTGTCTCAGGTGGATACCTGGTCAGAATCAGAAAGGTGGAGTGGGCTGGAGCCTCACACCTGGCTCCTATGGCCAAGATCCAGCTGGTCTTGTATTTGTGTTTCCAGGCTCTGGCCACGGCAGTCATCCCACAGTGGCAGAAGGACGAATTCCGGGAAAATCTCAAGTCCCTGAAGAAGATCATGGATGACCTAGACCGAGCTAGCAAAGCTGATGTCCAGAAGCGCGTGAGTCCTGGTGTACTGGTAGCTGGAAGGGAGCAGCTGTGTAGGCGGCTGTCTGGGGGTCGGAGGCTGGCCTTTGACCCGAGACCTTTCTTCTGAACTTCCTTTCAGGTGTTGGAGAAGACAAAGCAGCTCATTGACAGCAACCCCAACCAGCCCCTGGTCATCCTGGAGATGGAGAGCGGCGCCTCTGCCAAGGCAACCCGGGGCCGGGGCTCCCTGCACGCTCTCCCTGGTCACTGCTGTGTCCTGCCTCGGGGCGTCAGCCCTCCAGAGGCTGACGTGTGAGCTTTGTGGCTCTGAGCAGAGTGGTTGCTCAGGGGCTACTCTGACTGAGTTTAGCCCGAGCCATGTGGAGATATGTGGGTGGAGAATGAAGCTGCTGGGAGGTAGAAGGCAAACCTCGGAGCTGTAATTTGGCTAAGGCTCTGTGCTTGTGTTCTCTGCTTTTAGTAGGTATTCGGGGCCACTAAGCTCCACAAGCTTGCTGCACATAGCCCCCTTCCTCAGAGGCAATGCCTGATACCAGGTTTTTCCCACAGGCCCTGAATGAAGCCTTGAAGCTCTTCAAGACACACTCCCCGCAGACGTCTGCCATGCTCTTCACAGTTGATAATGAGGCTGGCAAGATCACGTGCTTGTGTCAGGTCCCCCAGGTCAGAATGCCCTGCGGCCTAGGTCCAAACCCTGGAGCCTGAACCCGTGAACAGTGGTGTTGGGCGTTCCTGAGGGAGCTCGGTTCTTAACACTTGTTTGCCACAACCCACGTGTTTGTGCAACCCTGTGAGAAGTGGCCATTCTGTCCCCCGTCAGCCATCTCCTTCACCCTTACCTCAGGCCTCTCCTTGATGGGTATGTTGAACTGTGCGGGCAGATACCAGGCTTTGCCACTTGGTCTGTCTAACCCTCGTGATGTTACCAGCTGTGGGTCTGTCTCAGCCTCAGGCAGTATTTTTTAGGGCAGAAATGGATGTCTGTGGTGTCCCATCTTTTTTTCCCCTCTGTGCACCTTCCTTCTTTCCAGTCTACCTCTGTCTTGACTCCTTCTCCTTCCTGTCTTTCAGAACGCAGCCAATCGGGGCCTGAAAGCCAGTGAATGGGTGCAGCAGGTGTCAGGCCTGATGGATGGCAAAGGTGGCGGCAAAGATGTGTCTGCTCAGGCCACTGGCAAGAATGTGGGCTGCCTGCAGGAGGCTCTGCAGCTGGCCACTTCTTTTGCACAGCTCCGCCTGGGAGATGTGAAAAACTGAGGGGAGGGGTGGCTTCCACTGGGAAGCACCTCCATCTGCCCCAGATGCACTCATTTAGTCAGGAGCTCGCCATCTACCACAAGGACATTTGAATCCTGGAGTCTTTAAAGTGCCCTGTCTTCCTAACCCGGCAGTGACTAGACTTACCCCGGAGCTGGCCTGTGACTCAGTATCCACATCACATATATGCGGAGCCCTCCATGTCAGCAACTGTCTAAAACCACTACCCCCAGGTTGCTACTTGTAACATCATGCTCATGTCTATAGATAAGTGTTCTCTGTAGACCCATGGCTATGGATCTATAGGGAGGATCATTTTTGCTGCAGAGAATAAAAGGACCATGTGCAATATTTGATGATACTGTGTGAGCTCAAACTCCCTTCTCCCTAGTGGGTGCCCCCTGTTGACAGTCTCCCACTGGTTTCTGGCTTGTGGTCCTCACTGAGCCCAAACCACCCCTTCCCCCCAACCTTGGGAATAGCTCTTGGGGTTGTGAAGGTGACCTATATGATAGGTGTTGTGAGCTGGGGAGACAACCATTCAATGAAAGATGATCAAAAAGGGCCTCCCTGGCCCTCCCTGGTGGCGCAGCGGGTTAAAGCACAACACTAAGAAGCTAAAGCCACTTCCGCATGAGTTTGATCCCCGCCTGCCCCGGAGGTGACCACATGGCGTGGCAGACCTCTCCTGGCCCGCCCGCTGCTCCCCTCAGCAGTGTACTTCGTCGATCTGCCTGTTCTGCTCCCCACTCTGTCTCTGGTGAAGCCTCTCACCGCCCCTGAGCCTCTGGCCTGTACCCCAGTTTTATGAATAAATAAAAATAAATCTAAAAAAAAAAAAAGGGCCTCCCCCGGGGGCGGAATGGGGTAAAACCACACACTCAAAAGCTATCTGCAGCCACTGCAGTATGAGATCAATCCACAGCCAAGGAACTGACCCACATGGCGCAGCAGACCTCTCCTGTCTTGCCTACTGCTCCCCTCAGTGTATTTCAGTGGATCTGCCAGTTCTGCTCCCTGCTCTGTCTGGTGAATCCTCTCACTCCTCCATGTCTGGCCTGTACCCCAGCATAAATAAGTAAAAATTTAAAGATCCATGGGTTCATGGGGCTCTCCTTCCTGAAGCCTCTCCTAGGAGAACTTCTAGTTTTTAGAGGTTCCTCTGTCCCTCTGAGAAGCATTTTCTCTGTTGCAGGCGGTAGTAAGGGTGCATCAGTTGCCCCTACTGACTGCCTCATTCCTTCAGCGTTGACCTAGAGATGGACAGTGAGATGGAGACCCTGTCCCCTGAATCCACCCAGCTGGATTTGAAAATGGCCTAGGAGGTTAGCTGTGCTGGCGTGTTCCTGATTTCATGCCATCTGTACAGCACGTTGACCCTATGGTCACTTAACCTGGACAGAATTCACTGAGGTCCTGGCTTCAACAGGCATGTGCCAGGGACCCAAAGGACACAATCCAGTGAGACAGACACAGTTCCGCCCATTCATGAATCCAGTAAGCCTTTATGCCCCCCAGGTCCACTGAGAGTTTGAACAAGGCAAAAAGTTGGCCCCTCTTGGGCAGAGGCGGTGGGAATGTGTGCAATATTAATTACAGCCTTCACAAGTGAAGGGGAGACAGCATCTCCCTGGCCCCGGAAACTAGAGGTCTTGCTGCAGGGCCCAGGTGCCTCTTCCGCCGGGGGGGG